CTGAATTTCCACAATATTTCTGTCTCATCAACCAAAACTTTATTCAACCACAAGTCGACTTTAACTACATAACTCTTGGATATAATACATATTATAGCACTGTACTATTTAGAAAATCTAACAGAGCTATTGGTCTTTTTTTCTAAAGAAAGGTAAATTAAAACTAATTCAAGGTACCATTACATTTCTTTGTAAAGTACTGGATAGTTTGTCAGGAAACAGGGCCACATAAATTGCTGATGGTATTGTAAACTAGTTCAACCTTTCTAGATTGCAATTCGGCACTGAAACCATACCTCCAACTATGTGAGCCCACTTTGGGAGTAAGGGTCCAAGGAAATAATTAAAAGAAAGAAGTATTTGAACAAAGGTGCTCAAGTTTATAAAAGTACCTTTTATAATCGGTTTAAAAAAAAGGAATAAAAAGGTTTCACAAACTATGGCTGCTGATGCATGAAATATTATACTGTGATTTAAAAATAACAAATACATAAATGAGTAAATATAAAATATTTTATGCTATATAAGAATTTAAAAAGCATATTCTGTATATACTGATTGCAACTATAAAAATCTACATCTGTACACTAACACAAATGGATGTGAAGTTAGGGTAAAATAAATAAAATTTTACATTTAATGGATTCTCTTTTCCATAGAGAGTATATGAAAATAAATTTTAATGTTGGGTTACTTGTGGGTTTGCCACTCAGTTTTATTAAGTTAGTGTTATATTATTGTTATTTTTGTTGCTCAGACTCACTAAAAATAATTCTTCAACATTGGCATTTGGAAACATTTATTAGTTATTGCACTGGAAGTAAAAAGACAAGATTCTGTATTTGGCCAACTTCCCTCTCATAACTCAAACTTCACCTGTACCTCATTTTTTCCAAGTGAAGATGGAGAAAAATAATGCAACAATGTTTATAAATTGACACTGAGTGCCTCCCAGAAAGGTGTTAGGCAAATACAAATATCAGCTGCAAAAAACACAAAAAAAAACCCACAAAAAAACAAAACAAATAAAACCACCACCATCACCCACACTGATTGCCTTGCACAAGTTACCAAGTTTTGTGTTTTTGTTTTGTTTTGTTTTGTTTTTTGAGACAGAGTCTCACTCTGTTGCCCAGGCTATGTCAGCCTAGCTCACGGCAACTTCAGACTCCTGGGCTCAAACAATCCTTCTGCCTCAGGCTCCCGAGTAACTGGGACTACAGGCATGTACCACCATGCCTGGCTAATTTTTTTTCTATATATTTTTAGTTGTCCAGCTGATTTCTTTCTATTTTTAGTAAAGACGGGGTCATACTCTTGCTCCAGCTGGTCTCAAACTCCTGAGCTCAAACAATCCTCTTGCCTTTAGCCTCCCAGAGTGCTAGGATTACAGGTGTGAGCCACCTGGCCACACAAGTTACTTTAATCCTTCTGAGTTTCAATGTTTCCCCCCATAAATTGAAAGAAATAGGCTAGAATCACATGAGGTGGGGGAAGCGTAGGTGGAGCAAAAGTAAGCATATGATAGCTGAGAAAGCATCCCAGGTGATCCTATTGGATACTTCGATGAAGATTCCTTGAGTCACACATTTTGGAGAAAGAGGATAAATTGGTACAGCCTCCTCGAAGGGTGGTAATATCTGAAAATCAAAAACGCACACATATCCTTTGACCCAGTAATTCCACTTCTAAAAGTATATTATTCAGATAATTTCACAAATGACCATATAACAAAGTATGCACAAGGATATTCATCAAATTGCTGTAATAGAAACACCTAGAAATGTTGTTTAACCCAAAGACTAGTTACAAATTATAGTAGAGCCATACAATGAAATAAAAGGATGTCAATACAAAGAATCAAATAACTCAAAATGTACTGAGATAAAGTGATTTCCTAAATATGTTAAGTAAAAAAGAGCGAGGTGTAACTGGTATGTACCATGGTGGGAGGAGTATGCCTAGGCAGGCATATGCTTACAGAGGAACAGTGTCCATGTAAGGCCAGATAAATTGGAAATGTGAGCCATCTCTGGGGAGGAGGTTAGGGAGACAGGAGATTTAGGGTCAACATAGGAGGGAGACTTATTTTTCTCTATATACTCTTTTGTATTGCTGGAATTTTTCTCTCATATGCATTAATTATCTTTTCCCAAATTGAGCAGGATTTTTTTTTTTTTTTTTTTTTTTGAGACAGAGTCTCACTCTGCCCGGGCTAGAGTGCTGTGGTGTCAGCCTAGCTCACAGTAATCTCTAACTCCTGGGCTCAAGCAATCCTCCTGCCTCAGCCAAAGTAGCTGGGACTACAGGCATGTGCCACCATGCCTGGCTAATTTTTTCCACATATTTTTAGTTGGCCAATTAATTTCTATTTTTAGTAGAGATGGGATCTCGCTTTGCTCAGGCTGGCCTCGAACTCCTGAGCTCAAACGATCCACCCGCCTCGGCCTCCCAGAGTGCTGGGGTTACAGGCATGAGCCACTGCGCCCAGCCCTGAGCAGGATTCTTTCTACACCTTACTCTGGGTCTAAGAAGCTGTGATTCTTCCTCTGTGGGGCATGGTCGCTGTCTTCTAAATTGCAGGGGTATTTACATTTGGCCTGACGCCCCCAAAGACCTTTCCAAAGCCCAGTCAGTCCAAGTCCCTGACCTGCTTTAAATCCTCCAGTAGCTCTCCACTGCTCAAAGTCATATAGCTTTCCCAGCTGACGTGGATCTCATCTCCCACCCCTACCCAATCCAGCTATGTTTAACCGCTTCCCTGTTCCCCAAGGACAATGGGTTCCTTCCACCTCCAAGTCTACTTGTGTTGCTCCCTCTTTCCTATGCATGCAGTCCGCCACACACAAACTCCTACGCATCCTTCATGACCCAAAGAGTCCCTCCCAGGAAAGCTTTCCCAGACCACCCAGGAAGGAAGTGCTTCTTGCACAGCCTGGCAGAGGCTCTGGAAATAGACTGCCAGGATTCAAATCCTGACTATTCCCTCATCAGCCCACTGTATGGCCACAGTTTCTGACCCTGTAGAGAAATAAGTCCCCACATGACTGTTGAAAAGATTAAATGAAGAGAATTCATGGAAAGCATTTATTACATAGCTTGTCACAGACAAATAAAAGGCAATAGCTATTATTATTACTATCTCATAACACCTGTGATATATTTATATCCACCTGTCCTGTATTAAGACTGTGAGCTCCTCAAAGCTAAGGATGTGACTTCCTCACTTTTACTTTGTACCCCAAGCAATTTGCCTGGCAAACCGAAGGCATGTGAATGCAGTTAAATCAGAGTGTTCGCTTTTCTGATTCTGTATTCCACACAGATAACAAGTTAAGTGGCTGAAAGGTACCCAGAGAACAGCCCCCTGGATCCCACCATGCCTTACAATGCACATATCAGCTAGGCCACTTTAGGGCAGGCAAAAGTAAAAAGAGACTGAGGGACTTTTAGTTTATCAAGCTACAGTAGCAGATTGGAGACCAGTGGGACACAGGACCTGCCAGTTCCTGCCTGCTGACTACTTACAGGGGCTAGGTGGGATGGAGATAGGGAGACAGGGAATCAGAGGTAATAAAAGTTCTGGGCCTGTACTCCAAGCAGGCCTTCAGGAAACAAAAATTTATCTTGGGAAGTGGATACATGGAAGTAAACTGAATCAAGGCATAAGAGAGAAGAGATGGGAAAGGACCTACAAGACAACTCACTGGGAGGAAGAATTCTCCCAGCAAGGGAGATGGAAAAGTGAACAAGACACAGCTCCTGCCCTCAAGAAGCTTTTCAAATGAGACGGGCTTTAAAGGAAGAGGTGGAGTGTAGCAGGTAAAGATGAGGAGTAAAAAGGACCACATAAAGCAAAAAAAAAAAAAAAAACAAAATCCCAACACATGAAGGGGCAGTCAAGCAGCTCTGAATAACTAGGATGGGGGATGGAAGGTGAATGGAAGGATTAGGTTAAAAGAAAAAGAGTAAATTGAGGCAAGACTGCCAATGGCCTTGCATGACCTGATAAGGCAATTTGGGCTTCATTCATCCCATGGGAAAAGGAAATCAAGGGAGTTTTAAGTAAACAAGTGACAGCATCAGATCTGTGTTTTTGAAAGGAGTGGCCAAGCAGGAAGATGTTCGCCCTTTCCTAGTCAGTCCTTTCGCCCACCATCTTCTGGTTTCTCCAGCTGCCTCAACAGCTTGCAGGTGGCAAGTGAAGCGATCTCCTGGGAGATGTGACTGGTGCCAGAGCCAGAATCCCTATCCTGGGCAAAGCCTTCTGAAGGCGTTCACCCTGCCTAAGGTTTTGAACATTCTTCTTTTCCTGTCTTACAAATTTCATCACTAATCTCAAAAAGAAAAACAAAACAAAACCAAAAAACCTCAACATTGGACTCAGCTCTACTTTTACTATTTATACCTTCATAAAATACAATTAGGAACTCATTTTAAAAAAATCTTTATTCACCGAAAGTAAAAAGGAAGGAGATCTTCCACATTTCCAATGGACTCATGTTGAATTCTGGGCAGCTATGAGCCCCTATTTCCCTTCTTAGCCTCAACAGTTGGGAGTGGGCGGCAAAGAAAGGGGCCTAGGAGATGGGGGGGGAGGGGGAGACTTTAAGGGAAGGAAAAGTTGGTCATTGCAAGAGCAAATTTTCTCATGCCAGTTTTCCCCTTTCATCCCACTAAACGGAGGTGAGCGAATTCTGTTCTCGCTGTTCTAAGTTTCTTCTTTCAGAATGAACTATGGCAGCGCCCCGGCCTGGTCTCAGGAGGATGCACGCAAAGTTCCCGGGCAGTCGAGAGGGGTCGGCGCCGGGTTCTGCACGTTTCCGGGGACCCCCTCCCCCCGCGAACCGCGCAAGGATGCAGGATCCCACTGCAGAAGCCTGGCGGGTTCTACCCGGAAAGGGGGGTTCTGGGCCCCGACCGAGGGCCCCTCCCACCTGCGCCTGGGAGCCGCCCCGCCTCTGGAGCCCACCCGGGCGGCGGCGGCCGCGAACACTCACCGAGTCCGGCGCTGGGCGGGACCGCTGGGGACGAGGACAGCAGCTCCGCCTCGGTTCCGCGGCGGCGTCTCGGCCCGCCACTACCCCTCAGGGCCGCCGCCCGGCCCGCGGCCCGGAGCCCCGCGGCGGCGGCGGCGGCCTCGCCTCCATGGCGAGGAGAAGCGGCTGAGAGGCGACTAGGCGGGCGGCGGTGATGGCGACAGTGGCCCCGGGTCCGAGTTCGATCGCGCGCGCGCGTCTCTGTCAGCGCCGCACTCGCCGCAGCCTCGCTCCCGACCCGGCCTTTGCTGTAAGGCGCGTGCTCATTGGCCGTTCAGAGGCAGGCGCTGGTTGGCCGACACCGAACGGGCGTCTCCGGCGCTTGCGGGGCCCGCCCTTGCGCGCCTCAGAGCGCTCTCTCTGGCCTAGGGTGCAGAGCCCCCGGCGTCTCAAGGTCTCCGGGATAGCCTGGGGAGGGTTGATCCCCCCGACTTCTCCAGGAAGCTGGACCCCGACAACACCAGCCGCCGGTGCGCCAGTGCTTTCTGCCTCTCTACAGTCTCAGGCCTCCTGGACTTGGGCCTTCTACCCAGTTTACAGATGCAGAAACTGAGGCCAGGCACAAGCCACACCAGTGTCTGGCCACCAGGGCTCCCTGAAACTCGAAAGCCATCTTTCCACCCAGCTCCAAACGTGGTCCAGTGGGCCTTTTTTTCCTCCCCCTTCCCCGCCCCCAATTGCTGCAAGGTATTTAAAGGACAACAGATCTCACTGGGGAGAGAGGAACCTGCCAAGTCCCTAGAACGGGCCTGGCTCCGTGGGCGCCGTCTCACGTCGTTAGCCCACTCCATCCCCACCCGAGCTCCAGGGAAATCTCCCCCACTTTCCAGAGGCGCGTACTGGGGCCTGGCTCGCCACGGAACTGGGTAGAAGCACGACACGTGGTGCTCTGCTGTAGGGGCACCTTTTGCGATAGGCCTGATGGGGCGTGGGGGAGGAGAGGCTCAAAGCGCAGCGAGGACCTAGAGTGCGTCCCCTAGGGCCTGGGGTCGGGGCACGGACCCCTTCCCGGCGCTCGCGGCACCGCGTTCAGCGCGCGGCGCCAGGAAGCCATCTGTCTGCGCGTCGGGGGCAGCGGGTTCCCGGGCGGAGCACGCTGGGTGCTGCCGGAGCGGGGCGTCTGTGGCTGAAAGCCGATCGCACAGGCGTGATGAGTGGCGAGTGAGTCACTTCTCCGGGTTCGGACGCTGGGGGACCCGCGCAGGGCGAGCGGCTGGGCGACTGCAGGCTGAAGACAGACTGCACAGCAGCGCGCCAACGGAGCTGGCGGGGGTGGCGGGGGAGGGGCACGTGGTTTATCCCAGCTCCGGAGTCTGTGGTACCTGGGGTAGGTGGCGAGACTCTCCTCCAGGCCGGACAGCCCCTGAGCCCCAGTCACCCGCCCAGGGCCGCTGAGTCCCACATTCAGTGCGCACGGGGGGAAGGGCGTGTAGCTGGCGGCGACGCTTCACGGCTGGGAACATTTCCGCGCGGGAGAAGGAGCCCACGTCAGCTGCGGTTTCCGCAGGGTTGGTGCCCCTACCCTCTCCAGTCCCCGCCACCGCCTGCTGTCGGGTCGCCAATTTAGGACTCTGTGCACTCCCCTGACCCCCGTCGTATTTGTGGAATAAGTGCGCCCATGCAGACCGGAGCCACAGCCTGGGAATACCGGGTGCGGCGGTCCTCCTTCAGGCTGTCCCCGCCCCAGCAGGGAAGTCTCTCCTAGAGTGGGAGTTGTGACTCTCCCTTTCTCCCTCTCCCTCTCGGCGGGGCCAGCCCAGAGGTGTTGTGAAATGGGCCAAGCCAAGGCGCTTCTGATCAATAGCCACTCCAGCCCAAAGGTCCGGAAGCCACATGCCCAGTCTCTTAACTGTCAGATCCCCGGGCAGCCAGTGAGGGCTGGTCCTTCCACACGCCGACATTCACGTTCCTGGCGTAAGTCCAAACTCAATCTATGGAATGAATGGAAAAGTGAAAATTTGGAACTCATCGTGTGAAAAACCCCTGAAAAATAATGACTGTGGGTGCAGGAGGTACTCAGGTAGCTGGGATGGTAGCCTTGTGCCCCAGGAGCAGATTCCACCAGCTTACTTTTTGCCTTATCTATATCTAACCTACACTGCTAATTTTTAATGTCTCTTTTGGTTGTTTTGTGGTTTGTTTATATTACCATAAAAGGGTTTGACATGCTATTTACATTTTCTAATATAATTAAAATAAATAGCTCTTAAAATAAGTGTTCATCTTGGACACCACCTGAAGGACCCCTACCAGATCTGACCACATTTGGGAAAATGCTGCTTTGGGGTGTAGTAGTCAGAGAGCCCAGGTTTCCAGTCCCACCATGTGCTGGGTGACCTGAGTCTCCCTCTGCTTCTCTTCCTAGAACCTCCCAGGGCTGTGCTTAGAATTAGATGCTTACAGCTTGGCAAGTAACCCACTCTCAAGAAATACAAGTTCCTTATCTCTCCATGATGCAGCTGTACTGTGCTCAGAGCATTTGTGGTGTGCATGCAGGGGTGACATAGAACTTCAGACTAAGGAAAAGCAGGGTCTTAGGTGACCCACCCTGGAGACACTGGAAACAAGGCTTCAGCTGAGTAACCACACAGACCCTGTTTCCATTGAGAGAGGACAGTCCCTTCCTCAGCTGCCTACCTGTGGAGCCCCCCATCCTACCTGACTCCCAGGGAAGTCCAGAGCACCCCTGCTCCATCATCATCATCACAAAAAAAGGGGAGAAGAACTGAGAGGAGGGAGCAGGCTTTCTATGCCCAGGCCTGCCCTAATAGGGGGCTGCAGTTCTGCTGCTCCCAGTCCTGCTTCAGTCCCAGCCCATAGTAATGTACACCTACAGGTAGGGACTTGTCAGCCAACCCACAGGTGTCCCAACAGTCACAGGATTCATGAGCAAAGACTGGACCAGGAGAGCTAGAGGATGGGGATAAAGGACTCCTGTTTCTTAAGGCAAATCACTTCCCCTCTTGGGGCCTCCTTTCCCCATCTAGTAAATGGAACAATGAGTCATGCTCTCAACAAATACTTATTGAGTGCAGACCATGTGCTGGACACAGCATGGAATAAGACAGAAGAGGCCTCTGCTCTCAGGAGCTTACATTCTGGATGGAGAGACAGACAATAAACAAACAAATGAACAAGAAAATTTCCTAAATGCTGTAATGAAAGGAAAGCAAGGCAGTAAGATAGAAAGTTGAAGTAAATGAGAGCCAAGTGCATTTCCAGGCCACTGTTCAACCCCAAGGGTCATTTTCTGGAGTTTTGTACCTAAAAGAGACTGGACATGCAGCCTCCTTACCCTGAGGTGTCCTAAAAGAGCCTTTGCCCTGACTCTCCCTCTATGGCCTACCACTGATACCCTAAACTAGTGGAAGAAGTTTGTTTGTTTCCAGATCCTCTGTCCCCAGCCTCACAATCCTGGTTGTAGCCCCAATCCTAGCCCCGTACGTTCGATAAGACTTGGCCTCACCCAGCATCGTAGGCGCAGGTCTGCTATACAAATTGCTCAAGGTAGAAGGCATTTTACACTAATTTTAACTGAACAATCAAGGACTTAAAAAAAGAAAGTCCTACTTCTGATTTTCAAATATCACTATGGTCTTTACATTTGTCAAAACCCAGCAAATGTACAATTAAGATCTGCACATTTCATTGTATGTAGATTTTGCCTGAAAAGAAAAAAATTGCAAACCAATAATGAACTCTTATTAATGAAATGCATTCTGAAGTATTTAGTATTTGTAAGTCTGCAACTTTGAAATGCATGAAAGATAAATTAACTGATAGAGGAATGGATAAACAGATATGTGATAAAGCAAATATAGTAAAATGTTAATGGTAGAATCCAGGTGGTAGTTATACAGGTGTTCACTGTAAAAGTCTTTCAGCTTGGCTGTATGTTTGAAAGTTTTCACAACAAAATGTTAGAGGAAAACTCAGTGATGAACTTTATTAAAAAGCATATAAACTGCTTCTCTACATGCACATACATTTTATAAAGTTGTACTCACTGTATAAATCTGTCATCATTGTTAAAGGTTGTTTCTCACATATTTCTAAAACTTCATGTGCACAGTGGTTAATGTTTGCATAGTAAATATGATGTATGTTATTTTGGGGATGTTGGTTTTTTATTATATACATTCTAAAAGCACTGGCCAAAGCTCCCCTTCCAGAGAGAGGATATTGGGTTGTTTGGTAGCAACCCTTTTTCACTAAGAACCAAAAAAGCTGGAGAAAATAATTTTGAGAAGCATTAAAGAGCTAATAGGGCAATGAGGAATTGTGGGGCCAAGATTGGGGAGGAAAAAAGCCCAGAACGATGAGCCCAATATAGGGGATTGTTTCCTTTCCTTGGAGGTGTCTGCTGATTCCAAAATGGAAAGCTGATAGGCTGTGCCAGATTGTGATTCCAAAAACTAGCCATAACATTTCCAGAACCTTGCTACTCCCCCATCAAGAGGTAGAGTTTATTTCTCCTTAAAATTGGTGGTGTGGGGCTATGTGACTGCTGTGAAAAACAGAATGTGGCAGGTGTGATACCATGCGACTGCCACAGCTAGCTTAGGAAGGCAGTACAGATTCTGCCTGGCTCCCTCTGGGGATGATTGTCCTTGGGACCATGTTGTAGATGTTCTAGCTGACAGTCCCAGCGAAGGTCCTGGTCAAGCACCAGCTTTAGCTACGAGACCCGTGAGTAAGCAGGCCTAGGACTTCAGCCTCCAGCTGTCAGGTCACCTCCAACCTCGCAATATTCCAGCTGACGCCCCAGACACTGTGGAGCAGATACAAACCATCCCTGTTGTGTCCTGTCCAAATTCTTGACCCACATAACAAATAGTGAGCATCATAAATGGTTGTTTTACAATTTGATTACTATCCCCTTGGAGAACTTTCCAGAATTACATTTACAAATCAGGTGGGGGGGGGGGAGAAAAAATACTTTTTTTTGCCTGAGTCTCTTGCTCTTTTTTAAAGCATTGTCAGCCCTTGGAGTGTTACAGAGGAAAGACCTGAAGCTCTAGTGAGGTCTGCCCTTCCTCCAAGCTTTGCTTTCCTCTTTTGTCCTCCAGACAAAGGGGGGCAACCAAAGGAAAAGGCAATGCCCTCGGAGCTGGGTGGGGTACTGGGGCATGAAGCCAAGGTGCACTGGAGCACAGACTGAAAGCTAGAGACAAGGAGAGCATAGGGCCCAGGAGGTGCTCCTATGGACTGGGGGTGAAGCCCCCACTGGGGGTAGGTGCGGGCCAGGGGTCTCCAGTTCGTAGTTCTCCTTTAGCAGAATGGAGATCTTCCATCC